ACCAATGCACATAAAAAGGATTAATCATTAAAAACAAAAAACCTCCCCTGGTAACAATACAATTCAAGAAACCACCACCAACAGCAACAACATTCTCAGATGACATACACAAGAAACACAGACAACAAAACAACTCTGAAGTAGGGTGTTGCTTTCTGTGATGCTGGGGACGGAACCCAGGGCCTCGAACATGCTGAGTGCTTGCTGACTCTACCTCTACTCTAGCGGGGCAAAGGAGCTGTTGCTTTGTTGAAAGTAACTCTTCCCTTGACCTCGTCAGGGCATGTGGGAACAGAGGAGGCCTGACTTCCTCCTTTGGATGAGTCAGCACACAATGTGGTTCCAGAAAAAAGAAAGGAACCTACCATTAGCCACTGCCGGGTCGGGATACAGTGTAGCATACTAGCACTAAGGAAATGTGTTCTTGCCTCAGGTGGCCTGCACTGAGTCATCCATTTGATCCCGTGGTGACTTCCATGATGGCAGCACCAGCTTACATTTGGTGGAAGAAAAAAACCTTTTTTTCCTGAGACAGTGTTTCTCTGGCTGTCTTGGAACTTAATCAGTAGACCAGGCTGACCTCAAACTCAGAGTTCCGCCTGCCTCTGCCTCCCAAGTGCTGAGTTTAACCGTGTGCACCACTACTGCCCAGATGATTTCTTTTTAAAATAAGTTTTACTTATTTATGTTCACTGGTGTTTTTGCTTGCATTTGTGTGTGTGTGAGGGTATCAGATCCCTTAGAACTGAAATTATAGTTGTGAGCTGACACGTGGTTACTGGGAATTGAACCCTGGTCCTCTGAAAGAACAGCTGTAAGCATTTTGGACAAATAGGATAGGACAGGTATTCTGGAGCTCAGGAGTCACAGAATACTGAGTGTTACACAGCTCAGATGGAAAGGTACTCTGGAGCTCAGGAGCCAAGGACCACCACAAGCCGCAGTAAGCATAGCAGCTTACAGCCCTGTTTCAGGGAAAGGCTTCCCCAGTGTATCTGCTCTGGTTCGGCAGGAGAGGGTTTCCCAGCTGGGGATGTTTTCCCAGTGTTGCTCCAGCAGGAGAGGGCCTCTGGGTGAAGTTGCTACAGTTCAGCTCTGCTCCCAGGAGAGTGGAGAGTAGAGTTGGCCAGGGGAAGGTTTCCCCAGAAGTGTTACAGCCCTGCTCGCTCTGCTCTGCCCTGCCCAGGGTCATCTCTGCTCCGCTGCAAAAGAAGGTCTTCACCTGAAGCTCATTGAAGGGGTTTCTTGGGAGGGAAGAATCCAGGGGAGTGGCTGTCCTCTGTCAAAGTGGCAGAGGACAGCTGGGCAGCAGGAACAGCCACAAGCTGAGGAGACACAGGGTTTATATAGGGCTTCTTATGGGGCGGAGTTTTCCAGGGTGGGGATTGGCCAGATTTCAATCTTCTGCTCAGGGATTGGCTAGTTTTCTACACAGGATTAGGGTCAGATTTGGCTCTGGTTTCAGGGTCAAAGTGTGTTTCCTTCTCTGGTCCTTTTTAGCCTTTTGGCTCTAGTTTTAGGGTCAGGGTGCATTTCTTTCACTGGCTCTGATTCCAGGGCCAAAGTGTGTTTCTTTGGCACTGGTTTCAGGGTCAGGATGCATTTCTTTGGTTCTGGTTGCAGGGCCAAAGTGTGTTTCTTTGTCTAGGGTGTGCTTCTTTGGCTGGTCCTTTTTCTCTACAGTAGCCAGTGCTCTTAACTGCTGAGCCATCTCTCCAAACCCTGGAGAGATGAATTTGTGACATGGCATGCATGTGGAGATCGGGGGCAGGTTGTGGGGCTCAAGGGATGGAGTTTGGTTCATCAGGCTCGGAGGCAAGCGTTTTACCTGCTGAGTCACCTCAAACTCTGGGGAAGAAAATCTTGAGGGGTATCCGTCCAGGGCACATATGCATCTTTTCCAAGCTGCATCATGCCATTATCATATTTTTCTCTAAGACATTGTTATGGGATATTTGTTTACACTGTGAAGACGTGTCTTTGCCAAGATACCTTTTGACTGGTTTAATAAAGAGCTGAGGACTCGAGAGATGGCTCAGAGGTCAAGAGCACTGACTGCTCTTCCAGAGGTCATGAGTTCAATTCCCAGCACCCACATAGTGGCTCACAACCATCTGTAATGAGATCTGGTGCCCTCTCCTGGCTTGCAGACATACATAGAGGCAGGATGTTGTATTCATAATAAATAAATAAGTAATCTTAAAAAAAATAAAATAAAGAGCTGAATAGCCAACAGCCAGGCAGGAAGAGGTTAGGGAGGACTTCCGGGGACAGACAGGACTCTGAGAAGAAAGGTGGAGATGCCAGGAGATGCAGAGCGCATAGAGAGGTAACAGCCATGAGTCACGTGGCAGAACACAGATTCCTACAAACGGGTTGTTATAAGAGCTAGTTAGGAACACGCCTAAGCTATAGGCCAAGCTTTCATAATTAATAAGAAGTCTCTGTGTCATTATTTGGGAGCTGGGAGTCCAGAGAAAGTCTCCTCACAACATATAAACATCTTTGAGCTGACAAAGACACAGAGGCTGCTAGCACTGTGGTGCTCGCACAAAGGAACTTTCATTAGAAACTGAAGGGAACTCAAAGGTTCTTGGAAACCACACTCATATTCTTGGATTTGTACTCTCCTCTTCTCTTTCTCTTAAACCTGTGTTAACTCTCCCTTTAAAAAAAAATTACTTGGGGTGGATGGGTGTGTGCCATGTGCATGGGCAGTTGGGTCTCCTTCCACCATGTGGGTCCCACAGAGGGAACTCAGGTCATCAGGGTTGGCAGCTTCAAGCACTTTTACCTGCTGGGTCAACTCACCGGCCTGAACTCTTCTTTAATAATCCCAAGTCTGCTTCATTTAAAGGCAGGCAGAGAGAAAGTACTTCTCAAAAGACAGTATTTTCAGATCACGGAAATCTGTGACTTCTGGAGCACAGGAAGGGGCCGGTCCTGCAGACCCAAAGCTCCAGGATTTCCACAACACAGGGCAACAGGATAACAGGAGTTCCACTGAGGGCCCAGCATCAGTAGCGAAGCAGAAACCAGAGCCCTCGGGCCAGACAATGAATATCTGCAATGAACCCTTGCAAGTAAAGGGACAAAGGGTTCACTGTGTGACTCGATGTGCCACACTGCAGCTTCCACGATGAGATTTTTCTCTTTTTTTTCTCCTAAATTTTATTTGAGTTATATATGTTTTTGGGGGAGGTTGCAAGGGCAGAGGGCAGATATGAAGGGACAGGGATCAGAATGCACGTGAAAGACACAAGGAGTAAATAAAAGTTTAAAAAGGGGGGAAGGAAATACAAAAATACCATACAATTCTCCTCATATGCATGTATGTACATATACATGCAGACAAAACATGTCGTCCTGGCTAGTTTTATGTAAACTTGACACAAGTTAGAGTTACCTGAGAAGGGAACCACAATTGAGAAAATGCCTCCATAAGACGGGGCTGTACCTGGCGGTGGTGGCGCACGCCTTTAATACCAGCACTCGGGAGGCAGAGGCAGGAGGATCTCTGTGAGTTTGAGGCCAGCCTGATCTACAGAGTTGAGTTCCAGGACAGCCTCCAAAACAATACAGAGAAACCCTGTCTCAAAAAACCAAAAAAAAAAAAAAAAAAAAAGAAAGAAAGAAAGAAAGAAAGAAAAAGAAAGGCTGACCAAGCCAGGAAGCAGCACCCTCTGTGGTCTCTGCATCAGCTCCTGCCTCCAGGTTCCTGCCCTGTTTGAGTTTGAGTCCTGGCTTCCTTCAGTAATGGACTACGAAATGGAACTGTAAGGCAAATAAACCCTTTCCTTTCCAACTTGCTTTTTGGTCAGAGTGTCTCATCATCATCATCACAGCAGTAGAAACCCTAACTATGACATAAAATAATTAAAAATAAACCTGAATCTCCAAAGCTACCAAACAGCTTATGCCCGATGCCAAGCTCATGGGCCACAGGTAGTCCTAAAGAAGACGGACAACGCTAGAAGCTGCAGTGGCCTGCAGGAAAGGCTGCCCGTGGAACTGCAGTGTGTGACATTGCAAATATTGACGGGAAAAATCAGGCAATGGCTGATACACACACACCAGAGCTGCAAGGTTTTCCCTGACAGTTTGGCCAATCGCACCAGCTCTCAAAACACACAAGCAATCCAGACAATATCAGTCAACCAGTGAGGCAGCACAGGCGGGCCGTGAGAAGGTATTTGATGACTTGTACAGACATTTGGCTAGGGAGGAGCCAGGAGGCTGGGAAGTAGGGGTGCTGACATGATGTAGGTGCCGTGTGGCAGCACATGCCTGGAATCTCAGCATTTGGGGGTAGAAACAAGAAGACGGGTTGAGGCCATTCTTTTTTGTTTGTTTTTCCAGACAGGGTTTCTCTGTGGCTTTGGAACTAGCTCTTACAGACCAGGCTGGTCTCGAACTCACAGAGATCCGCCTGTCTCTGCCTCCCGAGTGCTGGGATTAAAGGCATGGGTCACCACCGCCCAGCTTGAAGGCCATTCTTGGTTAGGAAACATTTTCTCAAGAGAGAGAAACAAGAAGAAAAGTCCAAACATCAATGAGCCCAAAGTCTGGAAATACATAAATGTAAGCATGCATTATACATATATATTATATTTATATATAAATAATGCACATAAAATACAAAATGCACTACTATTTATATGTAAATATACAATACACACACATATGTATTTGCTTCTGTTTTCCAAATTCACATTCATGTTGGATTAGAATGGTAAATGGAAGGATTCTCTCTTTTTCTCTCTATTTTCCAGAACTGGAATAAAATACATTTTATGGCTAAAGAAAAAGAAGATGACATCCCGTCTTTCTGTGGTCCTCAGAAGATTCATGTAGGGGTTAAGGTCAGATGGATTTCCCACCTAAGTCTTGGTTATGTGAAAAGACAAGGATTTTCCTGGGATTTAAAGGGCTGTGGGCGTGTCATCTGGATTGTGTGGCAGTCGTGGGATGGGAGGGATAAAGAAGCAAAGACAGCAGGCTGTGCATAGCCATCGTGTTTTATTGGATCTGGTGTCTTATTTTACAAAATATGTAGAAGAGCCCAAAATGCAAAGCAGTCCACAACGTCTGCTGGGTGGGAGGCTTTCCCCCAGACCCCAGCTGACGGAAGGTGAGCTGAGTGAGACAAGCAGGTATATTAAGAGGGGCAGCAGCATGGCAGGGTGTTGACAATAAGGTCGGACCTGGATCCTATGGTCCCTGCCCTCTAGGTGAGCTCAGGGGCACCTCTGGGTAGACTATATAGAGGAAGAGGGGCCCCTAGGACATCCTAGGGCATTGTGGAGGGTTGGGCAACAATTCCAGTGAATGCCCCTACACTGGGTTCAGACTATGGCCTGCCTTTGTCCCCCGTTCCCCTAAGGCAGCCACTAGGAGGAGTGGCAAGACTCACGTTCAGGAAAATCCCGGACTCACTCCTGCTCCTCTAAATCTAGAGGCCATGGAGAATTGCAACTGAAGCCATCAAAACAGGAGACGGGCGAGAGGGCAGGATGGGACTTTGAAAGGTGTCATCCAGGACACCTCCCACTCATCTTCCCCTGGCCACCACTCCCAACATACAAGAAGGATGGAGAGAATCCCGGGATGAACAGTTATCTGGAACCCAGGCTCTCCTAAGACACTGAGACGTTTATGGTAAATTTCTGGGACGTCGCTAAGGACATAAGGCCTTCTGGGAAGTCAGGGAACTCATATTCTGCTGGCCCCAGACAGCAGACCCGTAGAACCTGGCTCTCATGTTCTGCCAAGGCTTTCAGTTTTCCACTCCAACCGATTTCTAGGACCTAACCACTGGCTCAAGGCCAACATCTCTCTACTTTCTTGTCCCCCTCCTACAGGGCCCACAAAGGCCAGCCAGGGACATGGACAGAGCGTGTTCTCCAAGGAGGGATCTCAGAGGGAAGTCTATGAGATCAGGGGTGGGGAAAGCACCATAGCAGGAGACATTCTGCCTAACGTGGTTTCTAGAGTGGGGTTAGGAGGTAAGGAACCACTCAGTCCCTATGCCAGGGGTGTCCTCAGCACTGGGTACCAGTCCCTATGCCAGGGGTGTCCTCAGCACTGGGTACCAGGCAAGAAGGGGATGAGAGCTGTTGGGAGTTGGGAACCCTCCCTCCCAGACACACTGTTCACTCTTGCCACTTAGCTCAGGGGTCTGGACTACTGAAGCCCTGGAATTCCTACAGCCCCCAGGGTACAGGTAGGATGAGGACAGACCTGGGGAGAAAAGGGTGAGGTTCACCTGAACTAGGACTAGAGCACGGTCACCCCCAGGATGCACTAACCCCTGTCCCTGGGGGGCTAGATGACATTATCAAATAGTTGCATGGACCTCATGATGTTCTCGTCCTGTGGTCATGGCACATGGCGTGAGGGAGGCAGATTAGAGGGAGAGAGGGAAAAAAAAAGCTTGTCAGAGACACAGAGAAACACATTAACTAGAGACGGGACATTCAGAGGTAGAGAGGACGGACACACGGGGACACCTGACGTGGGGAAGGGATAAATTTCCCTTGGTCATGAAAGAACAGGATTGGGGTAGGGGTGACTTAAAGTTGGTTTAGTCCTAGAGTTGTGACCAGGGAAGTGTAGAGTGGGGAGATACCTTTTGACAAGACTCAATGAATTCCTCAATGGTCACCACGCCATCCTTGTTTCTGTCCATCTTCTGCAAGAAGGTGGTCAGGCAGAGAGAACAAGGGGAACAATGTGAGAGAGACTTAGATAAGAACCTTATTGGGCCCTGGTCTCCGTTCCCTGCACTCCAGGGCCCCCAGCCACCCAGCCCCAGGCACCTGGAAGAAGCTCTCCACGTGCTCTCTGGGTGCCTCCTCCCGGAGGGCAGGGTACGTGTACTTGCCCATCATGTCATAGATGGACTTCATGATGTCGAGCATTTCCTGTTAAGCCAAATGAGAAGATTTCTCCTAAGAGACTCCAGCCTCCACACTGAGAGGCTGAGGCAGGCCAAGGACAGACCTCTCCCCCTTACTGGTGTCACAGATACACGTTTTTTAAAAATCAGGTTCCTTTGCATCATCACCACCCGGGACGACACACACCGCCCCTCCCTCGGCCCTGCACCTCCTTGGTGATACAGCCGTCCTTGTTGAGGTCGTATAAGTTGAAGGCCCAGTTCAGCCTATCATCTATGGTTCCCCGAAGGATCACGGACAAACCAGCCACAAAGTCCTAGAAAGGAGTGGGTGGGGGAGTGGACTTTGCCAACCCATTCTTTGGATTTGGTGTGGAAATCTTGACACCCCCCCCAGCCCAAGGAAACAGGCTTGTTTGACCATCTCCTAGCTCACCTCAAAACTGACAGAGCCGTCATGGTTGGTGTCAAAGGCATTGAAGAGAAACGTAGCATAGGTGCTGGAGTCTGGGGGTGAGCGTGGGATGTGAACTTGGCCTTCAGGCAGGGGCACTGCTTCCTTTCTGTAGTACCTCAGCATCCCCAGCCCTCCAGAACCCCTCCTCAGCATCCCCAGCCCTCCAGAACCCCTCCTCAGCATCCCCAGCCCTCCAGAACCCCTCCTCAGCATCCCCAGCCCTCCAGAACCCTTCCCCCACCCCCCACCCCCGCATCCGTCTCCTCACCTCCTTGGGGGAAGAACTGTGAGTATATCTGCTTGAAGTTCTCCTCATTGACAATCCCACTGGGGCACTCCTGGGTAGGGACAACCAGACTGAGCAGAGACACAGACCCCACTTCCTTTACAGTCCCCGCACTCAGGCCAGAGACTCGCAGGAGGAGGGGAAATCACCCTGCCTCTCCTGCCTCTGTGGAACTTACCACAGAGTTCCAGTACCGGCTGGCAAGAAGACTTCCCCAGTGTACAAAAACAACACGAACTAAATCACAAGCCCAGCCTGCCACCACCAAGGGTCCTGTGGGCCCAGTCTCCCTCTTCAAAGCACCCAGGCCATACTTTCCAGGAGACTGTGAGTCAGTCAGCCAGGCCTCTCCGACTCAGCCCTTGCCCAGTTGGCTAGGCCCTTCACTCACGTTCTTGAAGCCTCGGTACAGGACCTGCAACTCTTTGCGGGTGAACTTGGTTTGTTCCTGCAGCTGCTCCAGACCCTCAGGCCGGTGACACACGGTGGACAGTTCAAACTCATCCTCCACGCTGTCTGCGGGGAGTGGTAGGGGGATAGCTTTGCCTCAGGTCAGGCCCCTGTAATCTTCAAAATAATTAACCCATCCCCCTCCTCCCAGTCCTCTGTTCCACACCCAAGGCCAGCCGGTCAGACTCAGAGCTGAGACAGTCAGAGGAGAAAGGGCACTGGTCAGCCTCCAGGTCTGTTGGGGCTAAGGCCATGCTTGGCTCCAGAGGCAGCCTTGGAGACGGACAGCCAGCCCCTTGCCGTGATGTCTTAGGAAGAGGACAGAATGGAGACCAGGGGCTCCTGAGGTCGAATCGAAGGGGCCTTTCTTGACCAGCTCAGATCACTGCAGCCCCAGCCTGGGAGAGCCCACATCCAACCCAAGCCCAGTCAAGCCCCTCCCATCCCAGCCATGCCCGAGCCATGCCCCACCCAGCTCCAGCCAATCTTTGTTCAGACCCCAATCTTGACTCCACCCTTAGTCCAGTCCCCAGGCAAGTACCCCCATCCCACCCCAACCAGGAGAGTAAGTCACCTGGGTCCATCGGGCGGGGTCTGTGGGGGCGGAGGGAGGCTGGGGCAGCTAATGCTGAAGGGAGCGAATTGTCACCAAGGAGACCAAGCCCTGTAGACACTCCCCTGGCCCCACACTCACAGGAAATCTCACAGACTTGAGTGTTTTAACACACGAGCCCCAGGCCCACGACATAGGCACATACACAGTGAACACAGACACCCAGGATGACACGAACCCTTCACAAACAGCCCCCATGTTGGATTAACTCTCCGGGTGGCACCATCGGAGTAAAGCAACATTAGATGCTCAAAAAAGCTACAGACTGGGCCTTTATATAGATAGCTTGCAAAATTCAGTATGCTTTTACACGGTGGGCAAGGCTCAGCAGAGGAAATGGAACCAATAGATAAAAAGAGGTCACTCAATTGGTGGCCATTCAGTTGAGGACCAGACTGGGACAGAAAACCTCAGTACCCTGACATGTGGGAAGGTGGACTTCATCCTCTATACCTGGTACCCTGTTAGAGCATAGGTGACATACATTCCAAGGTCTAAACAGTAGGGAAGCCACAGAGTTACAGAACAACCTAAGCCACCCTGCCATGGCCGCATGGCCTTCAGGCCTAACATACAAGCCCGATCCAGGGATGCAGACCAGGGATGCCCACAGGCACTCATGATCTGACCATATATTCATCTGTAGCCTCACATTCAGACCCAGCCCACCTCCCATCGCTCCCATCACACCTCTCTCTCTCTCTCTCTCTCTCTCTCTCTCTCTCTCTCTCTCTCTCTCTCTCTCTCATGTGAGAGCATCCCACCCCCAGAAGCATAGGAGAGGCACTTGCTTTCACTGACTGAGGGCAGGGCTTGGGGCCCGCAGCACGGCAGCAGCTTGAGGAAACGCTGCTTCAGGGCTTTTTTAGTGGGCCCTGGAGGGTGGCCTGGGAAGAGAGAAGACCCCAGGAAGGCACATTAACTCCCACCCTGCTCCCCGTTCCATTTTCCTGTCCACTCCCCCACCAATCACAAATCAACGCTGGCTGGGGTGGCGATAGGAAATGAGGAGGGCTGGGGCCGGGCTGCTACTGGGTCTCATAGGAGCCAGGCTCGGTCACTTTGTATGAGGAGAAATGGCTGGCGAGAGGGGCGGCCTCAGTGTGTTAACTGCTAACCCAACTCCTCAAGGTAATGTCTACTCTGAGGAATCTGAGTAGGACTCTCTCTCTCTCTCTCTCTCTCTCTCTCTCTCTCTCTCTCTCTCTCTCTCTCTCTCTCTCTCACACACACACACACACACACAGACACACACAGGCATGTTGTAATTTAGAATGGTGACATATTGATGACAAAAACAGTGGCCTAAGCATGTTCCAACCACACACACAAACATAATTTCTTACCTAATACTCTAATAAATATGACCAAACATAATTACACATATGGAGACCCAGATAGACCATCTCATGCATAGAATGACCAAATCACATAAACTATACGAGGACCCTAAGACATCATAACACCATGTGTTAAGGTTCTCAAGACATACACCAATGTTATTATGATATATGCATGACACTGTGACCTAAGCCTCTATGAAGGTTAATAACTATTGTTAACTTGACTACATTTAGAATCACCTAGGAAGTCAGACGGTGGTGGCGCACACCTTTAATCCCAGCACTTAAGGGCAGAGGCAGGCAGATCTCTGAGTTCGAGGCCAGCCTGGTCTACAAAGTGAGTTTCAGAACAGGGCTACACAGAGAAACCCCGTCTCTAAAAAAAACAACAGATGACTAAAAATAGCTCAGTGGCAGAGTACTTGCCTAGTATGTATAAGGTCTTAGGTTCAATTCCCTGCACTGTAAAAAAAAAAAAAAAAAAAAAAAGAAAAAGAAAAAGAAAAAAAAACTTGATTAAAAAAAATGGTGGCATGGTGGCATACAGCTTTAATCCCAGCACTTGGGAGGCAGAGGCAGGCGGATCTCTGTGAGTTCGAGACCAACTTGGTCTACAAGAGCGAGTTCCAGGACAGCCTCCAAAGCCACAAAGAAACCTGACATGAAAAACAAAAACAAACAAAAAAAAAGATAAATAAAAAAAACAACAGAAGAATCACCTAGGCGACGCACCTATGGGCATTTAATTGAAGATGAAAGACCCACCCTGAATGTGGGTGGCACCATGGGCTGGGTTTCTAGACTGAATACAATGGGGAGTGGCCTGAGTGCAGGTGGTAATTTCTCTATGCTTCCTGACCATGAGGCCTCATTATCACTCTCACTACTACATCTTCCTGACATGATGGACAACAGCTACAAACTGACTGCCAAAATAAACCCTTAAGTTGCTTTTGCCAGTTATTTCATTACAGCAAGTAACTAACATAGCAAAATTGGTACCAGGAGTGGGGTTGTCGATGTCATAAATCTGACCGGGTAGCTTATAGGTCCTTAGAACTGGTTTATGAAGGGAATAGAGAGTTTGAAGCCATGGGATAGAGAAGGCCTAAGACACTATAAGCAGAGCTTAGCGGGCCATTTTGGTGAGACTGTAGAAGACAAGAATGCCAACAGAAATGCAGACAGTGGGACTCAAGATACAGGTCAGGGGAAGAGTACTTGCCCTTGAGAGGACGTTACACACAACCCTGTGAAGGTGAAGCCTAAGCTGCATTTGGAACCTCAGGCTGCTGGAGATGCCAGGTCTACGGGAAATCGATCAAGGGAAGCTGCGGGCACCAAGTAGGGCAGGCTCATGAGAGATGCTGTGTGTGCTGCAAGTCCCAACGAGGAAGGACTACCAAAGACTTGCCGGTGCCCGCACGATGCCACAAGACCACCGATCCAAGCACTGCAGAAGTTAGTGTTCGTCTTGCTGAGTTCGAGTCTTGCCTGCCCTGCCTTTAAAATGAGGATAACTGCCTGGACCATTGTGTGTTGGAATCACCTAACTTCCTTTACTTTACCGGGGTTTACCAGGATGCCCTGCATCTCAGATTTTTGGGATTCTGAACAACCTTAGAACCAATAAAATTCTGGGAAATCGGGGCCAAGGAAAAGGTTCACTGGGTAAAAGCATTAGCCATTCATGCCCGATGACCTGAGACCAATCTCTGAGACCCAGGTGAAAGATGGAAACTGGTGAGATGCATTTGTAACCCCAGGGCTCCTATGGTGATATGGAGGGTAACTACCCAGAAGCTGACAGGCCTCATAGCCTGGAGCACAGCAGCAGCAGCAGCCAGAGAAACCCTCACTCAATGGAAAATGAGAATGGACTCCTAAAGGGTGACCTCTGACCTCCACATCACGGCATACACACACACACTAAAAAAATGTGGGGGGGGACTCATACAGATAAACTAAATATATGTTGTGCTATGAAGTAACTATGAGCCTTTGAAGACCATGGATGGGATGTTATGGTTCAATGTAATGTATCTGAGTGTTCAGTTGACAAAGGGTAGACTTGTGATGACTAGGTTTAGAATCACCCAGGAGACACACCTCTGTGTCTCTCTTTGATGCTTTGAATGAGAATGGCCTCCAGAGGGTCCTATGCTTGCATACTTGGATGCCAGTTCATGGAATTGTTTGGGAAGGATTAGGAGGTGTGGCCATGTTGGAGGAGATGTGTCACTGGGTGTGGGCTTGGAGGTTTCAAAAGCCCACACTAGGTCTAGTTGCTTTCCACGCCCCCATCTGCTGCCTGAGGAACAGGATGCAAAGCTCTCAGCTACTGCTCCAGCACCATGCCTGCCTGCTTCCCCCCATGATGAGCATGGACTAACCTTCCGAAACTATAAGCTAGCCCTCAATTAAAAGCTGTCTTGCCTTGCATGGTGTCTCTTCACAGCAAAAGAACAGTAACTGACTCTGAGGATGTTTCTAGATTGGTTTAACTCAGGAGGGAATTCCCACAATGAATATGGGTAGTAACATCACATGGGTTAGGAGCACAGACTGAATAAAAAGGAAAAAAGAAATTGAGCTGAGTATCAACACTTACTTCTCTCCTCTCTCTGACTCTGTCTCTCTCTCCCTCTTTCCCTTGCTTTCTTCCTTGATATTTTGTTTATTGGGACAGGGTTTCTCTGTGTAGTGTCCTTGCCTGTCCTGGAACTCTCTCTGTAGACCAGGCTGGCCTCGAACTCACAGAGATCCGCCTGCCTCTGCCTCCCGAGTGCTGGGATTAAAGGCGTACGCCACCACTGTCTTATTTCTGTTTTCTGACTGTGGGCACAACGTGACCAGCTGCCTCAAGTTCCTGCTGCCACAGCTAAAGACAGCTGGCCACCATGCCTTTCCCACCACGGCAGACTGTACAATCCACTCGCCCTCCCAACTGAGGTGAACGATACATTCAAACCATGAGCCAAATCCACCCCAAATCCGCCCTTCCTCGCTGGAGTTCCTTTGGTCAGGTATTTAGACACAGTGATGAGGAAACTAACACAGTCCCCATGGCACCCACATACCCATGGCTCAATGTGTCCTGGGCACATTCACTTCTCTCTCTTGAAATCCCTCACTCCGGCGGCCGGGCATTGGTGGCGCACACCTTTAATCTTAGCACTCGGGAGGCAGAGGCAGGCGGATCTATGTGAGTTCGAGGCCAGCCTGGTCTACAGAGTGAGTGCCAGGACAGCTTCCAAAACAATACAGAGAAACCCTGTCTCGAAAAGAAAGAAAGAAAAAGAAAGAAATTCCTCACTCCACGGCATCCCCAATCTTCCTTTAGAGGAGCATGGTTCCTTGTTCCCATTAGCTAGGCCATCTATGTGGGAATCTGGCACTTTTGGGTCCTCTGTTGCATGACCGGCTCTCTGAAGGTGAAGTGCCAGCAGACTGACACAGTAACGGATCACAGAGAGCTGGTGATGGTTCATGCCTGGGAAGCAGAGGCAGGAAGATCTGGCTCAAGGCTAGCTCCTGATTGTGTGTCCTTCACTGTAACCGAACCCCGAGGGGCCCTTAGCACCACGACCCCTGTCTCTCAGCAGCACCCACCTACAGATAACGGGGCTGGACCCCCTGGATCTGCTGCACTGACTACGGAAGACTTCATTACCGACCTCCTTTAGTTATGTCACTCTGTCTTGTCCTCCATGCCACACTGACCTCCCAAGCCAGGCTCCGCTCACAGGGCTACTCTGCCCCCAAGGGGGTGACTATATAAGGTTACAGCCTTCTCCCCTCTAACCCATCCCGTCTACCCCCACCTCACCCAGAGCTACGGAAAGGTGGGAGGGAGCAATGGGTCAGTCAGGGATCGATGGTGGCCTGGCCCCTGGCCCAGGCCTCCATTAGCCTGGACTCTGGTTTCCCGAAGCCGGATCATGCACAGGACCTCTGATGGTATTGTCAGTCCCCCAGGCCATGGGTGGCTTTTCTGCTCCTCCCACCTTCCTGCTCCCCCATGTCTCCTGCTTGCATGGAAGAGAGAGGCTGCTGCCATCTTCTGTAATGCTGCTGGGTTTTTCCAGATGGCCCCCGGCTCACCACCACAGTCTAAAGGGGATGGTGGGTGACAGGCGGATGGCCTCCTGTGACAGCAGCCCAGCCTCCTCAGTAAGTCTACGGTTAGCTCCTCCTTCCTACCTCAGTAACTGCAGCACTACGGTAGAGGACACTCTGACTGAACGCTACAACAGGCAACTCCTAGACCTTCCTCTTGTTCCCAGCTTCCTGGACATCTTCCCAGTTCTCCATCCTACAGCCTCCTTACCCCCTCCCGCTGCCTGTCAGGGTTCCTGCAGTCTCTAATGGTGAGTGATGGTGTCCCACAGAGTCACAAGGGTCTTTCTGGGGGGCGGGGGACCCCGGCGCGGGAGGAGCATAAACGCTTCCCTGTGGATCACCGATGCTATTCTCCTAATGTGGGACAGGACATATGGAAGCCCCAGGGCATTCTTCCCTTACTTCCAGGAGTCTGGGAGGTG